GAGGGCGCCACCAAATTTTGAGGACACTTTTTAATTGGCTCAAAGAGAGAAGTGGCCCATCTTGTCTTGTACTATCTTTGATCAAAACATAACGTTAGAATCAAATAAAACATGTAAGACTAAGAGCAGAGACACGCCCACTCACGTGTAAACAAACGTTTTAGCCACATTAAAAATGGCCGCCAACAAACTCAAATGTGTCCGTGTCACGTAACCTCGTACGGACTCTAGTTTAAAAGGGGGTAACTCTATGGTCTATACTTATTATCCATTAGCATTGTGTGTTATCATAACTAAAAACTTGGGCCATTTGTTTTAAAGTTATTTGGTTCGGTTTTCCTTACGAATACTTGTCACTAGAGTTCATTTGCTTGTCTGTACTGATATCCAAGAGTCGTTGCCTGTTATTCGATACTGTTTTATTCCAGAAAGAGTTTAAGCATGCGTCGCTCAATGTCCTAAGGCATGATACGGTAATTTTTATCTTTTTTTAAAAAGTTAAATTTCTTCGTAATCTTCTTCAGATTAAACTAGCATCTGCGTTTGTTGCCATTTTTTGTCCAAAAGTTGCCAAAAGTTGTCTCAAAAAGTGCAAAAGTTGCCCAAAAAAGTTGCTGTTAATTTTCAAGCTTCCAACTCTCTGTGACGACGTATATATATATTTATAGCAATGTGTTGATAGAGGTAACAATCTAAAGCCCCAGAATTTCTTGTGTTCTGTTTTAAGCATCTAGAATATGTTTTGTAGTCACCCAAAGTATAAAAAAGGTTTCGCCGCAGATTTAAATCACAATTAGAACAGCACCAATAAATAACCACAAAAATTATTAGGGCGCCTGTCCACCTATCCGAAGAAAGGCTGTTTAAACGTGTGTAATTCAGGAAAAAGTAGACCCTCAGGATATTACATGTAACTTATGGAATCGCACACAATTGGGCCGTGCCAGTGTCAATATTCGGTTTTGGTGGAGACACGCTCTTACATAACACTTTTTTTAAAGAGCGGGAACAGCATCAAATTAAATGATATTACGTTGTATAAACACACAAAAAGAAAAACAAATCATCAGAACAGTTTTTAGAAAAATTAACACACCAACAAATTAAAACACAAAAAGAGGGGGAAATATAAGACAAACAGCAATATAAATACAAGAAGTATGAAGTGTAATGTACTTATATTCTCCGCATGAAAAGAGATACACTTGGACATCTTAAAACTTATCAAAATACATGTCTAATATTTTATGAAGTATCTTTGTTGTTTTGTCTTTTTTTTTTCATGCAAAATCACGGTCGCGATTCGCGGACCCAAAAATGCCCAAAATCGCGGTCGCGACAAACGCAGATGCTAGATGAAAAAACTGACCTAAGGAAGAAAGTGTATTCACTTTGTGTGGCTTCGCCAACATCTTGTGAACAGTGAGCTCTCGACCTCATTCATCAAGGACAAAGTGATTGAACTGTAAAAGAAAAAAAGAAAAAAAGAAAAAGAAATCTCGAAAGTTCCCCATTTTGTCATTAAAGAATAGTGAAAAACAAACACAAAACATTTTAAAAAACTACTGTTTCTTCCTGATTTTTTGGGGGGCA